GGACTTTCTGTGAAAGGGGGGGAAGGAGTGTTATGTATGAATAAAATAATAATTGTTACTTTAATATGTAAGTAATGGGTGGAGTCACGTAGCGATGGCAAAGTGATTTGATCTAATAATACAAGTGCAATGTGAGCATTAAAGACGCAAGTTCTTTTGTTTTTGACTATTTTGACTATTTTTGACTTTTTGTTATTTCTGACTATTCTTTAGTGTCCTCTGTCTTAATAAGTAGAAAAGGGAAAGACATGACAAGTTTAACCGTTATCAGTTAAATTTCTCAACCATCGAGAAGGAAATGTTAGCACACTTGCTGGCATTACAACATTTTGATGTCTACGTGGGGGCAAGTATGTTTCCTGTAATTGTCTATACAGACCATAACCCGCTAGTTTTTCTGAGTAAGATGTATAATCACAATCAACGTCTGATGCGGTGGGCCTTAATGGTGCAGCCATATAACTTAGAAATCTGTCACAAAAGAGGGTCCGAAAATGTGGTCGCGGATGCCTTATCGCTGGGTTAGGCCTATTCTCTCCCTGGGACTGTGTTCAGAAACAGTTTTAGGAACTGATTTGGTTGGCTGATTTGGTTCGTCTTTCCTTTTCGAGGTTAAGCTCCGCACCTGCAACCTGTTGCAGTGCTGGCGTCTTGTGCTAAAAGGAGACGAGGAGCATGGACGGAGGTGGGAGCTGAAGTGGTGTGTTGCTGCCAGTCGCGTGATCACTACAATCACCGTTTAAGCTCTGTAAAGAGTGTGACGTGCACTTGACAAGGAGTTCGGTGTGGATGGTTCGCTGTCTGATCAGCAAAGGAGCTCCGTGCACGTCCTGATATCCAGCCAGCCGCTGACGATAAGCTGCATTCTGTTCTGTGTTTTTTGTTATTTTTGTTGATCTGTATTTGTTTGTTTTGATTAATGTTAGTTTGCCTAGTTTAATTCTTTTGTTTGTGTTATTGTCTTTTATTCCTCTAGTGATGATGATACGCAGGTGGTGAAGATTTTTGTCTACTAAAACGATTGATCTGTCTTTTTATGTTACTAGAACCCTTTTTAAACGAGCATTTTGAAAGTAATAATTTAATAATTAATAATAATTTATGCATTTAGCAGACGCTTTTATCCAAAGCGACTTACAGTGCACTCAGGCTATACATTTTTTACCAGTATGTAAAGTAGGTTTCGTAACAGGGTAACAACAAGAGAGGTCTCGCTGAACTTTGGCAGAAACATTGAGCACTGTATGTCATCCAGTGTGTGCCATGAGTCGTCCGAGATTATATTTTACAGCGGATCGCTCAAGAGCTAATTATCAGGTGAGATGTAGCACATATGTGACCCTGGACCACAAAACCAATAATAAGGGTAAATTTTTCGAAATTGAGATTTCTACATCACCTGAAAGCTGAATAAATAATCTTTCCATTGATGTATGGTTTGTTAGGATCGGGTAGCTTCTTATTGTTAGCTATAGCGTGTAACTAAGCTTTATATTTCACACACACACACATGGGGTGACCAGACGTCCCGGTTTCCCAGTGCTGAAAAAGAACCTGTAGGCCTAGCAAACAGTCACGTCTCATATCAATATCATGCAGTGATGAGAGGGAAAGAGAGAGCGGTTTTATTTAAATGTACTTCATATAGGTAACACAGTTTATTATTATACACTGCCCTTCTCTCAACTCAATTCAATACATGTCATTACATCAGGGAACTTCATGTGATTGCTTTGGAAATCGAGAGGTTGTAAAATCATGTCGTATACCACTGCGTCCGTACGCTTTTCAGATAAACTCACTCGTGATGTGTGCATGGACATACGATCCTCCGACCATCAGAATTCGCACCGCGTACGCCCGGCTTAACAGAAGAGGATGACAGAGTGGAAATGTCAACAACTATATATTTATTGACGGGCAGTTCAGAAAAGCAGCAATGCAAGCAGGTAAGTATGAAGTTCAATGAAAGTTTTGAGTAGTGATGTTACGCTCAACACGGAAGCTTGTATAAAAAAAAAAACTTGTATATAATTCAATATTGTAATTTATATATTAAGCTCAAATGAAATTTGCCTATGAAATAACAGGACTGAGATTGCGGATTTAACTTATGAATTTATGTTTCATTTATTTTCTTATTTTAGTGCCAGTACACCGACACAAATGAATGACTTTGACAATGACCATTATTTATATACCATCAAATAAAACAAAGAATGAGTTGTAGAACCAGATGTGAAACCAGCGGCTGCAATGGAACACAGCAATTTGGAAAGTGTTATATTTATTTTTATGACCACTAGATGGACACAACATAAACTGTCCGATTCTGATTTGTTGCCTATATCCGATTTTTTTGGCTGTCTGTTACATGTTCTTTCAATTGTGACCCATATCCGATTCATGTGTTTACACTTGCCATACCATCTGAAACATTGCGCATGCGTTGTTGTCATTTACCGCCTCAACATAATGACTGAGCTACACCCGTTTGAAGTCGATAGAGTGAAGCCCTCCATCTTTTCTTATTAATTACTATATTAATAATCACAATACAGCTATTTTTTATTTTATCTTTGCTATTATAAATAAGAACAGATGCTAATTGCTTAATCACATTATATGTTAGTGTGAACTCGTGAAACAAATAATGCATTACCTTTATCATTTTATATCTAATCGAAAGCATTCATGAACGAAAAACAAATAATCAAATGTAAAAATAACTCAAGTGTGTTCATTACAAATAAATTGATTATTAAAACTACAAAAGCAGTTAAATCATGTGCAGCGAGTGATTCCCTCTTTTCTTTTATTGTTAGATTAACATTACTGATACAGACATCCTATACTGTAATGCACGGATCTAATATAATGTTACACATCAGATGTTTTCCCCCAACAGTTCCCCAAGCGTTCACTTGAGACAGAACAGATTATGTTTGCGTAAATACTGAAATACTCTAGTCCTGTATATGTGTGTATTTATCGGGATCGCGCGCCATTATATGCACTTACTTCGGATGAAAGTCGGCGCGAGAAGCGAGCGGAGAAGAGGTAATCCTCTCAGAAAATGTACAAATAAAGATTATTTTAGATGTTTAATTACTACTTGGAGCATTTTTTCACCGTTTTTTTTTTGTTTTTTTTTTGCCTGTAGCTCAAAATAGCCCGTGCGAATTTACACTCATTTTGCCAGCACAGGTCACATATGACGACATTAAACCACGAAGATGTACCAAATTGTCACAGTTTTAATGATGTACAGAATGCAATGCCTGTTTACATGGCAGTCGCATTGGCACATATCTGATTTATATCCGATTTATTTCCACATATGAATGAGGCCTAAAACCGATCTCGAAATATCCGAATGCATGCGTTTTTTTCCTGTTTACACTGTCATAGAACAGATCCGATCTGTGTCACATATGGGCAAAAAATCGGAATTGGGTCACATTTAACTGACCGTGTAAATGGGGCCAAAGAGTGTGTGTTTGGTGTTCGCTTTTGTAGAGAGGTGCTGATGAGGGTAATCATAAACAGGTGTGGTTATCGTGGAGCATGAACAGGCGTGAGCCCGGACGGATTCTGGGAAATGTAGTTTGCTGAGGTGAAAGGCATGGTGAATGTAGATTGTGATCGTGACACCCATAAAGTTTTGTTACAGTTTTATTTATAACTACTGTTTTTGGTATTCCGATTGAAATTAGACAAATGTAAATTCACGCTGTTACTTCATATTTCTGGCTATTGTACAATGATCATGCATGATCTAAAAGTAAGCTAAAAAAGTATGATGTAACAATTCAACGTGTTTTAAAACTACATAATATACACAAATATCTGCATTAATGATAAAAATGGAGAAAGATATCCTGTTCCTGTTTTGAAAGTCTGATTACACTGTATTCAGCACAAACTGTGCCACAATCATATGTGAGCAGCATGAATGTACAATTTTATATTTTTGAGAAAACAATGTTTATGCATGGTAAGTAAAAAAAAAAAGAAGTCACTGAAATAAGGGCAGAAAACACATAATAAACATCTGTCCACAAGATTTTCAGTACTGGATTACTTTTTTCTACAAAATGATGTGAAAATCATTCTGCCCACTTATTCACATGAAACAATATGTGACCCATGCTGGCAAAATGAGTCGGAATGCGCACGGGCTAATTACGAACTACAGGCAAAACTAAGTGAAATATGTCAATTTTGGTAGAATTTGAGGTTTTCACAAACCATGAAGGCAGCCATCAGGGAGGCCAAAAAAGACTCACCTTATGAGTGGCCTGCCCAGGGAGGCTTCTCGAAGCCGGAACACCTAGAA